CTCTCTTTAAAAATTTTTCACACTTTCTTCCTGTCACTAACAGATTAATACCATATATATAATTTTTTTTTTTTTTTATTAAGGTAAAAAAGACGCCCCAGGAATCGCTCCTATTAGGCTTAGTACATGTCACATACAAAGAACCAAGTGATTACAGTAAATGGGTAGCACTACGCAGGAGTAGTGTGTAAAAGGCACTCTCCTGAAACGCACCTTATAACTAAAGGTTTGTACACGACGTTTATCGCACCGAGGTAGACGTTATAACGCAGCGAGAGGTACAGAGTTTAAGCTTCGTTAACCTCGCAACAAAAATTAACAGTCAAATAAAACTAAAATTAACAAAACACAAAAATTACTGGAGTCAGGTCTGATGAAACTTAAAATTAAAGAGTTATGTTAGTGATTATTCGTACACGACTCCCTACAAAAGGAATGGCTATCCACGACATAAGAGAGTAAAATAAACTAACACTGCTGAAACCCGCTGTAGCAAGAGTCAGGTGATCAGAAAGTAAACGAAGTAGTGTACCTTACACGGATAAAACTAAGTAAAAGCTGACTCTTACCCTAACGGGCGGCTACTAACGAAAGTTACCGTTCAGTACAGCTGTCTAAATAGACACTCACGGACGTAAACAAAACAATTACACTGAGTTCATATCGTCTTAAACTAGCTTTTAAATATAAATAGGTAGAGAGCATATGAACCTGCAAACTATTACCGTCACCTCCTTATCCAGGCAGGATAACAGGAATTTGACTGGGTGAGGAAGGTGTCCGACTACGCGGACCACAGGGCAGACCGTAACAGCTTCCTTTGGTTATCATATTCTGGGCACTCCCAGAAAACATGGTTTGGTGTTTCTTCAAAGCCGCACGTTTGACAGAAGGGGGAGTCTACAATTCTGAATCTGAAGAGGCTCGCGCGCAAGGAAGTGTGCCCGCTGCGGAGGCGATTGAGGGAGGTCACCGCCCTGCGGCTTAAGTTCAACTGCTCAAACCAAGGTCGTCGGGCATCGGTCAAAAAGTGACCGCAATAATAGCTACCTCTAGTTCTCGATTCCTCTCGACACCACTCCAACAGCTCTGATCTTGCCTTTGCCTTCTAAAAATTCTTGACTTCACCCAGGGGAACACCCACCTGGGAGTTCCTTCCGCACACCACCGCGTCCCTAGCAAGGGCATCCGCCCGTTCATTGCCCGCCACTCCACAGTGACCGAGAACCCACACCATCTTTACCCGCACCCCCCGTTCAGTTAAGCCCAGGACCAAAGACTTGATTGGGAGCACGAGGTACGAGCTTTTGCCCGGAACGAACCTAGCCTGTACCGCTGAGAGAACTGACCTTGAGTCTGAGAAAACTACAACCGACCGCCACTCTTCCGTTCGTGCCAACTCCAGAGCCTCGACAATGGCCATGGCTTCCACACAAAACGAGGAGACGAGGCCCACCAACTTGTAACGACGCACGTATCGTCCGTCCTGAGAGACTAACGCGTAACCCGAACATGGAGCCCCCTCCGATCTCGAGGCGTCCGTGAAAACGCACACTGAACTCTGTAACTCTTCACCAAAAGCTTCCCTAAATTTTGCTTCTGCGTTAATCCCTTCTCGTACAGAAACCCCGGCGAAGAGGTCGACCGGTAGACTCGACACCAGCGGTTTAAAGCCGAAAGAAAAACATATCGGAACATCTGACGAAAACAAAGAGCGGGTTCACCGGTCCACCTCGTTAAAGACTTTCACGAGAGGGAAAGAACCCACCCGGTTAGCACCAGGGAGACCCGATCTTGACGACCGAATACTACTTAACAAATCCCACAGTGGGTGGGCCGTCATAATGGCCGTTCGCGACAAGAAGTTTCGGCACAAGAAGCGGAAGCGTACGAAGAGAGGGGGCTCCCGAGCCTCTCCCAAGATCACATTTAGGGGGGTTGACGTCCTATAACCCAAAACAATTTTTAAAGCGCGCATCTGTAGCTTATCTAGCTTGGAGCCCAGCCTACAAGAAAGACCCTGAAGGAGGAAGCCTCCATACTCCAGCCTGGAACGGATCAAAGCCCTATACAAACTCAACAACAAACGTGGGTCTCCGCCCCACCACGTGCACCCGAGGCATTTAAGCGTGCGCAAGGAATTGGCACACCGCTTTTCCAGACCTAACACATGATGTGTCCAGCCTAAGTCCGACTAAAAAGTCATTCCGAGAAACCTTACTCTGGGTGATGAGACCACTCTAACCTCCTGCACCGTAATCCACGGATTTCGACGCCTGTACGACAGTCTACCGCCCGTGTAAACGGGTTCCATCAACTTTCTATCCTTCCAGCTGAAAACACACAGCTGAGTCTTCGCAGCTGAGAGATCTAAGCCAAGCGGGTCCAGAACTTCGATGACATTCTCAACCGACTTTTCAAGTATCGCCAGGCCCTCATTTACCTCTGTTGTAGACGTGTAAAGGCAGACATCGTCTGCATACTGTAATACTTTACACCCGGGAGAACACACTCTATCCAGCTCCATAACGTACACAGTGTAGAGGAGAGGGCTAAGGACACATCCCTGTGGGAGGCCCTTGTGAGCCCACCTAACTTCTTCCAAATCCCCAAAGCGGCACGTTACCTGACGCTTTGACACCAGATTGTAGATAAACCTGGCCGTCCGAGGGGAAACGCCCAAAGCAATCACCCTATTGACAAGAACATCCGCCAGCACGTTATTATAAGCGGATTGGACGTCCAGAAACGCCGCTGAGACCGCACCGTTTTCCTGAAAGCTCTTAACTATCTCGCCATACAAGAGGGTAAAGTTGTCGACACAGGACCGCTGTTTGCGAAAACTATACTGCGAGCAAGGGAGCTTGTGGTGGAACTCCAACCACCAGTTGAGATGATTAGCAACCATTTTTTCCATGGTTTTACAGAGGCAGGAAGCCAGAGAAACTGGACGGAACTTCACTCCACCCGATTTTGGAATAAAAAAGACAAGAAACTTACGCCACTCCGTTGGAAAAGACCCAGAGCACAAGACGGCATTGTAAAGATTCAAGAGTGCAGCTCTGCCCAGCGACGGCAGTTTCTTCAACACTAAATAATCTACGTTATCCAAACCCGGGCTGGATTTGACGTTGACCTCGTCCAGGGCCACGTCAAGTTCCAGTGGAGAGAACGGTTCGTCGAGAAAGGAGTCGACACACTCATACTCGAAGGAAAGGGGGTGTAGGAACCCACGATAGGAACACGGACACAAGGAGTCCACCTGAGAGCGGACGCAATCAACCTTATCATCCGTGTAAGCCTTATCTGACTCCGTACGATTCCAGCGATACTCAAAACCTTTCACAACATTCCATACATGCGTTGGATTAGAATCTTTCCGAAGACCGGAGCAAAACTTTCGAAAGCTGTCCAGCTTGACTTTTCGAAGATCCCTTTGAGTTTGAGCAACCTGGCGTTTGTACCTGAGGAAGTCCTCGCGTAGACCCGAAAACTTAAAGCGCGCTAGCGCCGCTTTACGCAGGCGGAGAGACCTGTCACATTCTGGTGACCACCACAAACACGGTGGACGGTACACCGGGGGGAAACCCTGTCACCAGAGGCAGAACCACGTCCAGGTGGCAAAGCGTGGCAGGATGATGAGCGATGCCAGACGTCGCTGAGAGATGCGCTAGTAACTGCCCAGATAGAGTACGAGCAGAGAGAAACCTGAGAGCGGCCATCCTAATGTAATTTTTTACGACGGTTTCAGCCGCCGGTTTTAGCCGTATTTCCACAAAAGTGGAACTCAAAGGCCGTTCTACATTAAACGCAAGTAGCAGATCTCGTGGAATTGACCAATTGCAGAGT